GCTAACCACCTGGAGCTAGGTCAGATGTCACAAATTAAAAGGGCACAGTCCTCCCGAATGGCAAGTCTGCCCAAGACCTCAAATGCCAGCCACAAGCTTGGATTTCCCCCTCACTTCTGAACTACTGGATAGAAATTTGGGGGTCCCCTCTACCACTTCAAGACACCAGCCATAAGGTCAGGGGTCCATAGTGACCCCGTACCTCTGATCTGCTTGGATCCTACTGCTCCCTCGGGTTCAACAATTTGCTAGAATGACTCACAGAACTCAGGAAAGTACTATACTTATGATTACAGTTTTATTATAGCAAAAAGGATACAAAAGATGCATAGGGGTAGGTCTAGAAAGGTTCCAACTTGGAGTTCCCCTTTCCCAAAAAGGGATGTACTAGCCTTCCATGCACACTGATGTCTTTCATCAACCAGGAAGACCATGGAGCTTCTGTGTCCAGGGCTTTTACTTGGACATTAGCCCCCTTCCTCCCTGAAGTCTGCTAATATCTTTTGGTAAGTCTTTTTAGCCCTGGCCAGCTCCCACCCAAAAGGTACCTACCTCATTGGCATAAACCCTAAGGTGTGGTCTGGAGGCCTCATCAAAGACTTCAATCACTGGGGAAATTGCAAGTTTTCAGAGGTTACTGCTCAGGAACCAACGGCAAAGACTGAATTCTTTGGGTAAAGTTTATCATAAACCCCATAGCAGCCAGATGGGTAATCCTGAGTGTCCACTGATGTCACTGGTCTGCTGCACCAGCTGTGATCTGCTCATCTCCATGCTCTTGATACATGACAAAAGGAAATGTTTTTAGCAATTTAGTCAGTCTGTTATTTGCAGCCAAAAGCATTCTTAACTGACCCTGGATGATTAGGTGTGAACTCTGTTCCTGTTCTTAGCTCTATTGTACAAAACAATCACCCTGGGGAGGCTCACCTTCCAGAAATTGTTTTAATAACTCTGCATGGAGTCTAAGACTTTTCACAAGCTTTTTTAAAGATTTGCAAGGAATTCTGTTAGCCTCTGAGAAACACTGGACTGTGGAAAACAGAGAGGCAGCAGATATGATGGAATAACATGGAAAATACAATGAAAGAAAGGGCAGGATAAAATCTGACTATACAGTAAATGATTTAACTAAAAGACTCACAGAAAAAAAATTATGTACACTGAGGCAAAAAGGCTAGAATGAAATCCATCAAAATGCTGAGGAGCTGCCTCTAGGTGGTTGGGATGTTGATATTTTTGCTTATTTTTCAAACGTGATAAAGCTTACTTCACTACTATATGTGGTTATAGGGGATGCCTTACATGCACTTAAAGGAACCCCCCCCACCAAAAAAAAACCTAACCTGTTGCCTGTTGAGTTGATTCTGACTCATGGCAATCCAATGTGTTCAGAGTAGCACTGCTCTATAGGATTTTCTTGGCTGTAATCTTTGCAGAAGCAGATTGCCAGGCCTTTCTCCCTAATATGGCTTGGTGAGTTCAAACTGCCAACCTTTAGTCAAGTGCAAACTATTTGGGCCACCTAGGGACCTATTTAAAGGATCGCCCTCCTCTTATCCCTCCTCCCCAATCCTTGTGACCACTTCTGGTGATAACTCTGCCTGCCCTTGTTAATATTTTAGTCACTAATATGTAAGATTTCCCATTCCAAATTAATGTTAGCATTTGTGTTAGAACTGCCATCTGTGAGTCCGGATAAAGTGAATCAGACAAGACAAAGAAAAGATTGAGTTTCTGCTGTTTAGACCCTGGCTTGTGGCAGGAATCCTTGGCAGGGTTGGCGGGACCCAGAAATAGGGAAAATGACACACCAACACTCTAACTACAATCAACCTCTGCTAAGCACTTACTGTGTGCGAAGTTATGTGGTTTAGCACTTCACAGACCATATCATTTAATCTCTAGGACAATCCTGTGAGGTACAAACTGTTAGCAGAAAAACCCAAAGGCGCAGAGAGGGCACATCACTCGCCCAAGGCCACATAGCAATTGAGTGACTGCAACCACTAGGCAACCAATCTCAAAGGTGTAGACTGGGGTGAAAAGATAAAATGTCCGTGGGAATCTTAAAGTCACAGAAATAAAGTGCTGGCAGAATGCACGGAGGCTCTGGGTGGAAAAAAAAAAACAACGCAACTTGAGACTTTGCTGGTTGTGGGGGGCTCTTTAACATTCTAAAGGAAGAGTCAGCTTGTGAAAATAAAAAGGATTTATCTGGCACTTTTGATTGGTATCTTCATTCCTTAGAGGCATGAGGGGGGCAAAGAAGGCGAAAGTCAAGATCTCTTTTATGTTTTACAACGTCTGCCCCATTTAAGCAATTCGCCAATATTTCAGGAAAAAAAAAAAATCGAAGTTCCACTCTGTCATGTGTAAATTTAGTTCTCTGAAAAGGACACCATAGACCTCACGGTGAGGGTATGACTTCCGAACCCCATTCCCGGCAGACACAGAGAAAGAAGGGCAGAATTAAACTCCTAGTATTTGGAGGCCGTCCGGATTTGGGGTTAAGCTGGTTCTTGCCGCCGACTCGCAACCAGCAGAGGGCGCGGGTTCTCTCGAAGGTCAACCCCTGACCCTCCTCTCTGCTGAAGCCAGGGGCAGGGAGGGGGCTTACCCTCTTCCATCCCGCCCCCGCC